AGAATTATGATAACAATCAGAGATATTATAGAAATTAAAATTATATTATTTATAAATAATGGTTTTCTACACTAAAAAACAAAACTTACGACTCACATATAACCAACTACATGTACAAAATAAAGAAAATTTTATCTTTTCCTTGATATTATCAAAGAAAAATGAAAGGTAAAACATAATAATACAAAGCAATTTAAAAATTTTTTTGTGGAGATACTGTGTTAACCGTTAAAGTCAAATTTAACTAAAATTAAAACAAAACCAAAAGATATAATCTAATAATTTCTCAATTAATTAATAAATTCTTATTTTATATTTAAAATCTTAAGGTCCTATTTATATTTTTTAAAAAGTATAGGGTGCTAATTAACATTTTTACAAAAGACTAGGGGGGCTGTGGCCCCTCCTGTTCTATATGTGTCTCCGCCACTGGGTGGCTGCCCTCTAACAGCCACAGGGGCACCACGACACATGGAGTTTTTAGGGACCAAGAGATGAGGTCCCCCTTGGCTCCTTTAGGGTCTAACAGAGGCATATTTCTTGACCTTTTCTATCCTAGTTTGATGTCATTTGTTTTACCATGGAAAAAAACAGAAATCTTAGTTATTCTGTATCTACGAGTGGGCAAATTTTGGTCAGCCAACCAAAAACCGCAAAATCGCTTGAAATTGGGTGGGTTTTTCATCGATTTGTTGGGTTTGTACAAAAAGGACAGTTTGGACTTAAACCCAAAGTCTAGTCGGGTGGGCTTCGGTTGTAAGGCCCGTGCACTGAAAATCGAAGGATTAGGCCTAGTAAAGCCAAAGCCCAAATCTCAATTTTTTTTAGTTCTGATTATTTTTTTAATTTTTTAGATTATCTATGTTTTTTTTTTTTCTTTTAACTAAGCTGAAATCATATAATTTCATTAAAACCATACAGCATCTATATAAAAAATTCTTATCCCATTTATAAGAGCAAATGACTAAACAAATAAAGCACAATTTAAGATTAAAAATAAAAGTAAATTAAGTTTAACATTAAACAGATATAGAGAAAGATGGTTAATAAATTATTCGAACAACTTCTAAGAAAATTAATTTTTACAAATTCTTTGGTTGAACGTTCCAAAAAAACTAGACACCCTTCAATTTACTCTTGAAATAGATAAGCCCACTCTTTAAGATATCGTGGCTAAGAGATCAGAGCAAGCAGCGACCAACTCCAAATTTCTTCTTTGTTGTCCTATTGGCTACCAGATCTGAACAAAACAAAGCAAGAAACA